CATTTTCATAGAAATAGAAAAAAATTTAAAAATTCATATAGAAACATAGGAAACCTGAAATAGCCAAAGCAGTTATGAACTCCAAAGAACAAAGCTAGAGGCATCACACTACCTGATTTAAAACAATACTACAAAGTCATAGTAATTAAAACAGCATGGTACTGACATAAAATACATTCATCCACAAATGAAACAGAACAGGGAAGTGAACTCACACGTGTACAATCAATTGAGTTTTGACAGAGATGCCAAGAACATACAATGGGAAAGAATAAACTCTTCAATAACTTGTGTTGGGAAAAAAATATATATGGAGAGAGAGAGAGAGAGGGAGAGAGAGTCCCTGACTTGTGAACGTTTGAGTTGTGAACTTTCATAGGTATACTATGTGAGACTCACTTTGTCAGCTTATGAATGAATCTGATTTATGAACAATTCTCATGGAATGGAACTCATTCACAATTCAAGGATCTGTATATTTAAATATATATGAAAATTGGACCCTTATCTTATACTTCATGTAATAATAAATACAAAATGGGTTAAAGACTTAAACATAAAACCCAAAACTATAAAACTCCTAGAAGAAAACATAGGGGAAAACCACCCAATATGAATCTGGCTGATTAAAAATATTTGACCACAAAAGTACAGGTAACAAAATTGAAAATAGACAACGAGAGTACATCAAAGTAAAAAGTGGTTGCACAGCACAGGAGACATTAGAGTGAAGAAACCATCTATGGATTGGGAGAAAACATTTGCAAGCAATATTCCTGGTAAGGATTAATATCCAAAATATATAAAGAACTCAAACAACTGCATGGAAAGAAAGCAAATAATCTAATTAAAAATGATGTAAACAGACATTTCTTGAAAGAAGACACAAATACATTACTTTTTAAGGATATTCTTCCCTATACCTCTGAATCTTCAAATTCTACCAAGCCTCTCAGACCTTGTTTCCATGCCACCTGCTATATAATACTTCTTTCCATCTGCTGATTCCTTTGATTTCCACATTTATTCCCAGCTTCTATATAAAGCGCTTTGTTACCTTAGTCTTTGTTTTTGGGTAAAAAGCCAGTCTCCACTATTGAAATGTAAGGAGTGAGAGCCCATTTTTCCATTCATTTTGGTACCTCAGACCCTTCCATTCACAGAACAGGGATTCAGCAAATCCTCCTGGAGTAAGAGAAAAGAGTCTAGTGCTTCCAGGATACGTTTTGGGTCTTAATTCACTTGTTTTTCTTTTTATGGTGCAGGGGGTGGAACCCAGGGCCTCCTGCATGCTAGAAAGTACCCTACCACTGAGGTTCCTCCCTCCACCTTTTAAAATGCCAGCAACAGCAGCTGTGATGAGCAGGTTCTGTTAGCATCTCAAACAGTTAAGGGAGGTGGTGAGTTGGGGACTTTGGGATACTGACTGCTTCCAGGTGACTATGTGGGATGTCCAGCCAGAGAGCTGAGAGGGAAAAAAGCAAACAAGAAAAACCCCAAACCACTCAACCTTAAAACTTCTCTATTTTAAAGAGAACAATGTGACTCTTTCCCAACCACCGAGCTTAACAATCCCTCCCATTCTTTCCAAGACACCAAGCACACATTTACCGTCCCAAACAACAACAAACCTCCCCAAGCTCCTGACCTTCCTGGCCTGGCCAGGCTGCTGCCATGGCGGCTCTGCAGGGCTCTCATTGAACCCTACACTTAGCTTCGTTTTCTAACTCAAAGGGCCTCACTTTCAGCACAGAATGGAGGTGAGTGGGAGAGGGCGGGGCTTCAGAAACGAGGGGAGACAGCTTCACCCCAGTCTCAGAAATGGCCGGATTTACTTGCTTTCTGCATTAGAAATAGCTCCAGGGAAAGTTAATGGAAACTGGGCAACACCTACATGATACAGGAAAACTTTCAAAACAACAGGCTTATTAATTTTTTGGTACTTGCTTTAGTTTACATAAGCTTCTCCTACATAAAACGTTACAATAGTAAAAACCTAATCCGCTCCTGGAATCTTAAACATTGTAATCAACGGTCCCATTACCTGTTGCTCTGTAGCCACAACAATTACCCACAGCAATTTCCATCCTGTTTGTAGTTTTTGCCAAAAAATAAAGTTGATCCCCATCAGTCCCATCCCCAAGTGCTCAGATCATTATCAGTCCATTTGAGAGCCTGCTTCTGCCCTCCTGCTAGAACAATATCCAGTGACAGTTAAAACAGCTCAAAAATCCTTTCAAATAGAAGGCTCTTCTCCAAAACTTTTACCTCATTTGTACTTGGACTTTACAAACAATTTCCATTATTTTTTCAGCAATTTTCTGTTCAAGTAAACTTAACTCATTCTCCAAACAAAACTATAGTCTGTCTCGATAGCAATATCAAGGGAGGAAAAGGGCTACCAGGAGAGTGGACTGTAATTATAAGGGAAGAGAGGGATGAGGGGTTGCGGCGGGGAAGAGGGATTAGGAGAAGGAGACGGTGTGGGCCAGAAGACATAGAAAGAGAAAAGACGTGGCGCATGGCGAGGCGGAAGGTGCTCCTGGAGGCCATTTCTGCGCAGGCGCAAAAATGAGTGTCCTTGGCGCAGGCAGGAAATAGCTCCTTCCTTCCACCACCTGCCATGGGGATCTCACTCGGGTGCTGAGGGCGACCCCTATGCGGCAGTGCGGGGGCAGAAAGGTTCAATACCTTTCTTCACCTATCATAGCATCACCACTGATATCCCTGGAACAAAAGGCAGGCTAATGAAAGAAAAGCACAGCAGTTTTATTTCGTCAAAGCTGTACGTGACACAGGAGCTTTCAAAACGAAGACCCAAAGACTCAGGGACAAGTGTATCTTTCTGCTCAGGGAGGAGGACAGCTATGTAGAAATCAGGCTGGGTGAAGAGGTGGCTCTGATGTCAGAGACTCACGTGGGGGAGCCCAGCAAGGCCGCTTTGTTCAGATTCTTCCTGCGTCTCTGTGTGGCCTCCCTTCCTCCCGGGGATGGGGAAGGACTCCTGGAATGAGGAGCTTGTGACCACGGTCAGACAAGGCGGGTCCGAGAATTTGTTTCTGAGCCAGCCACAGGAAGGTGGGGGAGGGGAGAGTGATTTCTAGGTTTTATGGCTGGCTTGGGAAGAAACAGGTTCTAGTTTCTATGGCCTGTCTTGTGGAAGGAAGGGGACCAAGGGAAAGAAGAGCAGGAGAAGGTTAGAAAGAGTTTGCTTCTGACGCCCTTGCGTTCAAGCACTCAGCATGCCAAAGCACAGTACAATGGGGTGCTGTTCTCCAAGATCCAACAGTGGAGTTCTCCATGGCCAACAGTGCCAACAGCTGTGGGGCCACGGGAGACGCTCGCGGTTCCCCACCTCTGGGAAGAGCCTCACTAGCCACTGGAGACCTGGGGATCAGTCCTCACCCTCCCTTACCCCCACATTAACAAGCCACTAAGCCTTGTCCACTCACCTGTCTCACCACCCCCACCCTTTAGCTTGGACTACCACGGCCTGCCAGCTGGACAGGGGGTCCTGGTGTCAATCTGCTGTGCACATGTCACCCAACCTGGCTTCTCTGCACTTCCTGGGAGGCTTATTTCCACCACCAAGGCCTGGAGAGCTGCGGGAGCAATTGATGCTGACAATATCCCTTCCGCTCACACCTGTCCCCTCACCCCCTCTTGTGGATCTTTCCGGTCTTACTGAGAAGTGGGGCCCCTTGGCATGCGCTCCTTCGATAATAAAGAGGTATACTTTTGCAGTCGATTGCTCAGTGGTTCTTTCCTCTGTGAGTCTCTGAGTATTCTGAAGTCACAGATTGTGTTTGCCCACATATGTCATCATCTTCATTATAAAGATAAAACAAAGACTTATCTCAAAGGCAAGGTTTAAGTGAGTTAATTCAAGGAGAGAACTTAACAATGTACCAGGTGTATATAATAGCTAATGCGTTTTGGCTGTCATAACAATAACTAGCATTGTGCCCGGAATAAATCGTGTGCTCAGCAAATGCATGTGAAATGAAAGGGGAATGAATCAATGGATGGCTAGAGGATTCACCAACCCCGATAGTCCTTCCTTTGTCCCCCCAAGCAGCTGCTATCCATGACAGAGTACAGTGGCGCTATACCCACAAGGAAGAATCAATGATTTTCACTGTCTGCTGCCACCATGAGAAATGGTCGACAGAGCATTTCTGTCTTCCTGGGATTTTAAGTTTATTCTCCTGTGTTGTCGAAGGTACAGGGGTATGATGTCACAAAATCTATCTCCTTGCTTCTCAGTGTGGTCTTTGTTAACGAAAACATGTGCTTTGTAATGAGCCCCACGCTCCTTAAATACTCCCAGGCCAGATCCTTTGGAAAGCCAGGCGTGTCACGTAGCCCACCCCAACAATTATTCACACGGAAGATGTCAATGTACGTTGCCACAATGGGGGAGCTCCTCACCCCTTTGTTCCTGCACGGCCCGTACTTCTGACTCCCCAGTGACCAGGGCAGGGCCTCCGGCACAGGACCGCGATTCTCACCGCGTGGATCTGACGAGGAGCAAGGTCCGCAAGCAGCAGTGGTGCTGAGTTGGCCCCAGTCTGTCAAACCCCGTGATCCGGCACAGCCGTGGTACTTTATCCGCCTTTAAGGCGGTGATCATATTTTTCAGTTCTTTTGCTGCAAGTAACTCGCTTGGATTTAGAAATATACACAGCATCATCAGATCAGTAGTTCAACATATGACTTTACCCTTCCTCTCCTGTCGCAGGAAGGTTTTTCATCCCTTTTCCCAGAGCAAACTTTTCTACTCTTTATCTGCACCCACCTCCCTCCACCTGGGGATGCTGTGAAAGCTCATACTTGGTTAGTCTTGGTTCAGGCATTCATTTTAGAAACTGCTATTTAATTGAAAATAACTGGAACGAATACACTGTTAGTGCCTTTATCTGTGCACGTTTAAAACTAAAGGATGCTCTGCTGAAATCCACGATAGACAAGGAAACGGCCTTGAAACGTAGTGAACTGACCTGTTTTCTTGCGCAGCGAACTGGATCTGTACCCGGAAGTGCCGAAGTCCTGGGCCTGTGCCGGAACTGAGGACATTGACATCCTCTGCCCTTCCTGTGGGTTCCCAGACGGGAAGGGCGAGCCCTGTGAGGATCTCATTTCACGTCTATCCATGCTTGATAAGTAGTCTTGAGTTTTCTTCTTTTCCTTTTTTAACATGTTGACCAGAATATCTAAAATGTGACTTAAGGATGTCGTGACTCCCAGATTATAAAGATTAAAACGTATGATCTCATTCCGGGTATGGTGGCGCACGCCTGTAATCCCAGCACTCGGGAGGCTGAGGCAGGAGGATCATTGTGAGTTCGAGACCAGCCTGGGCTACAAAGTGAACTACAACCTGAACTGCATAGAGAGATCCTGTCTCAAAAAGACAAAACAAAACAAAGCAAAACAAATGATCTCAATGCAAGTACTAGTCTCATACGGTTTGCTACTTCATATGTGGGAGGGGCTGACTAAAAGAGGATCTTTAAGGTCCCAAAGTCCTCTACACACTTGTACACAATTCAGGCTGCTATTAATCTTTCACCAGGGCACCATTATATGAAAAAATAGCAAATGCAGAGGGCTTTAAAATGTTCTGAGTATAAATGAGTTGCCTTGAAGTCTGTGCAAAAGGGTGAATAGAAAGTAAAACAAATATTGTGTTGTAGTAGGTGTTGGAGCGATGTCTGCATCTGTGAGTTGGTCTTTTATTTGGTTTTTTGTTTTTTTTTGTTTTATTTTGTTTTTCTCCGGTACCAGGAACCGAACTCATGACCTTGCGCTTGCCAGGCAGACGCTTTTTGCCGCTGAGCTAAATCCCCAGCCCCTGGTCTTTTATTTGGGAAAACTCCCCCACCCAGAGCCCTGGTTGAGCACATGGCTGCTCAGGAGGCAGCGGGAGGCACGGAGGGGCTGTGCAGGGAAACCCACGCACCTGGCAGAAGGGACCAGTCACTCGTTGGGGCCGATGCGGTGACAACACATGCTTATTTAGAGGAGAGCTAAAGGGAACCTAAAGCTACTTTGTGTAAGTGTTAATTTTTGGTCTCAAATGAATCTGAAGTGAATTAATAGGTATATGATTGTGAAATGCACCTTTTGTGGGCCTCTTAGCTATGCCCAGCACACTGATGACAGCTGTGGACAATTTAGGGAGCTATTAGTCCCACTCTAATCTCCCATGCCACACTTCATTCTGGCCCAAGAACTCTGGAGCTCCAGGAGGTTTTGCCTCGTCCGTCCACAGGACGAAAGGCTATCATCAGTCCCTCTGGAGAATCTCAGAACTCTGGTGCACATGCAGGAGCATGGACCTTTGCATCCCTGGAGATGGCTTTATGCAAATGTGAGCCCCAGGAAATGTGGGGGTGCTGCGGCACGGCAGGCTGCTCTTCAGAAATGAGGGGGAGCCACCGGGACCGCGCTGGCTCTTGGCAAACAGCACGGAAATAATTTGATCTCCAACCTCTGCCTCAACTTAACTCCAACTTGTTGGTGATTTCTGAAAGCCTAATTGATTTTTTTCTCATAAACCCTGATGTGGCTGCTACACATTGCCTCAAAAAAAAAAAAAAGTGTACTTGACGGAATTGTTCCAACTCTGTAGTGTCTAGTCCTCAGCTGAGAAGAACAGGGCTCCGCTTTGCACTAACTGATTCAGACATCACCAGACACTTCCGGGAATCCAGACACTGCAATGGGAAGACCCGTTCTTTTCTTTACTCAGCGGGGTTTGCTAGGGCTGGGTATATTATTCTAGGCATCGATGTAGAACAGTTAAGAAATAGACTACCTTCTTGTTCTCCGGCAGCAGATGTCCTACCGGGGAGACAGATGCTCCATGTGCATGAATGCAGAGTGTGCACATACACACAAACTGTTAGAGTACCAGGTAGCGCATTTTTAAAAGGCCAAGAGGGGCTGGGTGGCTGCGGTACGCTCTGCACTGCAAAGGCCTTGCTAAGTGTGCCGGTTAAGGCTGAGATCTGAATGACAACACAGACCAACCAAGGCAGGCCATCGAGGAAATAGCCAAATCCCTAGGGAGAAATGGGCTTGGCAGTGGCTCCCAGCGCTGCAGGCCTACAACCCTACATCTTCCAATGTGCAGGAAAGACCCCACCACCAAGAATTACCCGTCCTCAAATGCAGTAATGCCGAGGCTGAGAAACCTCATATCAGGGGGTAGGGGGCCACTGGGACTGCAGCAAAACACAGGGGGTGGGTCGAGGCATGAGAAAGGAAGTCAGGATGGGTGGGGCAAGATCACATAGGGCCTCAAGCATGGGAGCAAGGATTTGGGTTTTATTCTGAGCTGGAGGGGAAGCCTCTCCAAGGTTTTTTTTTTTTTTTTTTTTGTTTAGACAGGATCTCACTATGTAGTTCAGAGGTCTTGGAGTCACTGTGTAGCCCAGGTTGAGCTCGAACTCACTTTGATTCTCCTGCCTCAGCCTCCCAAGTACTGGGATTACAGGCGTGTATGGCCCTCTCCAAGGTTTTAGTCAGAGGGATAATATGCTCTGATTTCCATTTCATAAAGATCGCAGCTCACATCTACCTTCCTGGATGACTTTTTTTCTGACCTCTCCTCTCTTCTGCCACTACCCACCGTCATCTGACTGAGGTCTTTGTGTCACACGCTGTGCTGGCACGGGACACCGGCAGGACAGGTCTGATGCTTCTACTCTTGCAGGGTGGAAGCCCTGAGCAGTCACGGAGCTCACAGACACAGAGCTCGGGCTCAGCCCAGGATGGAGTCAAGCTCCATGAGTGCTCTCTCGGCTCTGACTCCTTACACACCATCTCTCTGAATGTGAGTGTCCGGCGGAGGGAGCCCTGATTGAGTTTTTCATAGTCAGTAAAGAATTGAGGGTAGCTCCCCATGAATAGTGGTACCCAGATGCTGCTCCACAGTGAAGGAGGGAGATGATGGATGCCTTTCTTTCACCTTCATGTTAAAATAAACACATATGAACAAGCCTGGACTGTTCCCTCTCTGTCGTCTCTCATTCCGTCCCTCCTGCGTGCACAGACAGTCATAAGCCACGAGGAGAATTAAGAAGCTGATAGCAGTGTGGAGGGGAGAAGGGCCTCAACTAGGATCAAGGCCAAGAAAGAAGCAGAACTCAGCCCGAGGTCCAGGCTGAGGCCATCCCTGGAGATGGATGGGGTAGGAGAGAGGAGAAGGAATGCGAGGGCGACAGCGCTGTGGGCAGCGCTCGGAGACAGGGCCTGGCTGGGGAGGGAGGCACAGCTGAATCTACTGTTATTGGCTGGGAACCAAAGCCGCTGGGACTCACTTGAGCCTGACACACAGGCTCTGCTAAGACTCAACTAAAATTAGAGACTGAAGTTAATCAGGCAGTGCGCCTATTCTGTGTTTGGTTTGTTTTTACCCCTTTATCACTGGATTTCCTTTATGTAGACTATTTTTATGTCTTTTGCACAATAGCTGACGCTAGAGTCTTGTCATCGTTTTAAGAAGTGAGCAAAAATATCTGTTTGTAAAGAGCGGGCCAAGATGATTTCTCACGTACGTTTAAATGCTGCAAATGTCATGAAAATGTCAAGTCTTACAAGGAGCTTGAAAGGTAAAATGAGAAACAGTGCTGAGGAAATATCAGGGAGTCCTGAGGTCTAACCACCCCAGCAGGGGCTCTCTGGAAGTAACCGCCTCGTCTGCAACTGCAGCCCGAACACGCTCGTGGGCTGGGACCACTGTCAGCACGCAAAATACACGGCCTCCGGGAGCCAAGAAGGGTTCTGTCCTGAGCGCTCATCCTCACTCGCTTCCAAATTTGGGAACGTTTGTGAGGGGAACCCAGAGCCATCGATCTGGCTTTTAAATAAACAAAAAAGAAAAAACAAAGGTTACATTGAACTCAATCTCTGTCCCTCAGAAGCTAAATACCATTTGCCATTTTTCAGCCACCATTTGAGTTTCACCCACACACCCGCCACAAATTCTGGGCTGCGGGGAGGTTGTGGTCAGCCCAGTGTCCGGTCTGCTAGCTAAAGATAACCAGTGAACTTTCGGGCTCGGGACTGGAACAGACAGCACCGCAGAGCAGTCCAAAAATACATTAAAAAAAAACAACAACAAGCTGTTCGGAGATGGTGTAGCCAAGCTCCCACTTTTCCATGGGCTGCAGTGCTCTCTGTAAGACTAACTGTGTCAAGCTCAAAGAAAAGGAAAAGCGTCTGTTTCTATAGCTCCTCCTTTTCGCTGGTCACTGCGCCTGGCTTGCAGAAAGCGTGTTTTAGTCTCAGTGGAAGGGAGTGGCGCGGGGCACGAGGTGATGTGGCAGAATAAAGACACCTATTCATCCCACCCCCCCAAGCAGGAAGGAGCCGGCTTCCCAGCGCTCCAGAAAGGATACTGATTTCACTGTCTCTCTGCTTCAGTATTTCCTGGAGCTTTCTGGATTCTTCCTCTTTCAAGGGTTCTTGGCAGTCCTGGTTCTCGGTTTCGGAGGGGCCTGCACTCTTCCCAAGGATCCTCTTGTCATTCAGAAGTTTCTGGAAGATGAAGTAAAGGCTGAGTGTTCACATCTCTTCCTTGCTTCGATTCTCTCTTCCCCGTGCCAGTGCCCTGTACACATCAGGCACGCGTGCCTGCCCGCCTCCTTGTCTGTCACGCAGCTGCTTTCACTGTCTGATAGGCTTTCCTCTCCCTGCCGTCCTTGCGGCCCCTGCCCTCTCCTTATCTTTCTCTCCCCACATGGGGAGATTTCTACTCCAGCGTTATCTCCTCTGGGACTCTCTTCCCTTCTCCCGTAGCACACAATTCATCCCGCTATTGTGGCTCTTGTCATATGCTGTGATTATTCTTTCATGCCTGTCCTCTCCAAGACTCACTTATCTGACTTGGCCTCACCTACGCCGGGGCTACAGCAGACTCAGGGCGAATGTTCATTATCTCCACGAGTGCGCAAAGATATAATCGAAGGAGAGGTAGAAGTTGGTAATGGTCCCACTCCCTCATCATGAAAGGTAAAAACTAAGAGGGGCTGGGGATTTAGCTCAGTGGCAAAGCGCCTGCCTGGCAAG